TCCCTGCCCTGGGAAAACCCCCCCCAGCTTTCCTGTACCCCCCAGGCACTGGAAGGGGCTCCAAGGTCTCCCTGGACCCTTCCCTTCTCCAGGCTGAACCCCCAAACTCTCTCAGCCTGTCCCCGTGGCAGAGGGGCTCCAGCCGGCTGTACTGGATTCTGTACTTGAACTGCAGAAAAATAATTTCTTGAAAGTCTGCTTTCTGAATTCATCAGGAGCAGTATTCGTGGTTCAAGGAAATTAGAATGAGTGAGACCTTTTCTTGGGCAAAACTGAGTGTTCAGAGGGCAGTGGGTGTTGGCTTCATCTGTAACTGCAAGGCCTGCAGGAAGGATGCCCGCTGCCTTTCTGCGGGAGAGGCTTAGTGTTTCTGAAATTGCTTCTGTTGCCTCTGCAATTCCCACTGCAGACGTACGCCTTTCTTTCCTCTCGTGTCTTCCACAAATAGTAGGTTTGCTTCTTCTGCAAAATACACATGTGGCTTATGGCAGAGGAGCTTCAAGATTTGCTTTATAGAAATAAGTTATTTGAGATCCTTAGATGAAAGCTGGCTGTGAGATAACATTATCATTGCTCAGAGACTGGGACTTTGTCAGGGGTTTTAATCCCTAGGACCCTTCTTCTTCTTCTTCTTTGGCTTGCAGCAAAATAACTGGAATGAAAGGAGCTTTCAGCTTAGAGGTCGGAGAAGTTTTTAGAGCTCTCTCCGCACTTCCTTGTGCACCTCGATTCACACCAGGGTTTAAATAACATCTCTAACAACTGCAGAGCCAACTGGGAGAGGTTTAATACAGCCTTTTAGTGCAGGTTAGTGGCTGGAGATGAAGAAGAGGTGCCAGCCTCAAGTAGGCAACTCATCTGTCTATGCCCTTCTGTCTGCCGATGATGTACACGTGAGAGAGTGTAACTGGAGGCTTGCGGTGTCCTGATTTTGTCCAAACCCCGAGACAGCCACCTTGAAAAAGGTTTCCCATGTCCCATCAACCTTTTATGCTTTAAATAAATCAAAAAGTAAATAAACCCTTGCACGATGGTCTGTCGTCCTGGGTTTAGGTTCCTCTCTGTGGTATAACAAAGGGAAGCTGATATTCCCCCCGCCCTCAGCCGACTGAGCACTAACTCATTGGAATATTTCTTCCCTTCTCACTGGGGGCCATTTTAATCCCCGTTTTGGTAATCCTACCCCACTGCACTCCTAGCCCTTTCAGTTGCTTTTTTTTTTCCCCCTTTTCCTTTCCCTTTACAATCCTGAGATGTTTTATATTAGCTTTATAGCCTCAGGCTGCAAGGAGTTCAAAGAAAAACTGCCACAGTATTCCCTGTGCTGCCCCTGCCTGCCCAAATGCGCTTTCCTTTCCGATTTTTTCTCTTCTTCTCCCTTGCATTGAGCTCTTGAAGAATCTGTTGCTGATGTCTGAAAATGAGGAGTTGCTTAGGTGTATGTTGTTTGGGTTGTTAATTGTATGTTTGGGCTCTGAATTGTGAGAATAGGGTGGCAGTTTTGATGATCGTTCCCTTAAGTCTGTGGCAGAAAGCAGCCTGCGCCTTTTCTCCTGGAAAAATCGCTTCCATACCCATTGAAAGAAACACAGTGCCAAAATCTGCAGCGCTTTAAGAGGAGACACCTGAAAGGAAGACTTTAAAGATGCTGCTCTCCACCCTTAGATATCAGATTACTTAACAGCAAAGCAGATTTCATTTCTGCCCCTTTGGGATAGATGTCTTTAGCTCTTCTCTGTGGGCTGCTGGAGCAACAGGAGCGCACACGGGTGAGCCGGGCTCCGCTGGCATGACAGGAGAGCTCTCTCAGGGGTTAAGCGTGCTAAAATGCATGTTTGTGTTCAGATTGGTTGGAAAACTGGCACTTTGTGGTGTGTGTTTGCAGAGGAGGGAGTAGAGGGGCTTCCAAAGTACCCAGTCCATGGAAACTGTCCTACAAGTGGTCCAGGTGTCTCGGTGCCGTTGCCCTTTCCCAGTGCCCAACAGATACCGTCTGGTCATGTCACTGAACAGACCGACTTGGTACCGTGTTCTGCTCTCATGCTGCTGAGGAGTTGCCTAGTTCCTCTTGTGATTGCCAGGGCTGCAGAAAAAACACTGAATAGGTTGAGTGAAAGAAAAAAGGAAGAGGAGTATTGGAATGAAAGGATTTAAGAACCAGAATAAAATTCCCTTTATATGATTTCATTTCATATTTTCTCTTGGTCAGATTTGGAGAGTTCTTGCTCCCAGTAAATCTGCTACTGCTAGGAAATACCACATCTGCGTTACCAGAGAATTCGCTGTGAGCTTTTTTGGAGAGAAAATGTTCATTTTCTGTAGGTCTCCTGCCTCCTCCACGTTTCATCTCCCAGTAGCTTTTTCTGCCAAATTCTTTGCGCTCCCCTTGTACCACACAAAGTTTCTTGGCCTTTGTATTGTATTTGGGCCAACTGAGACGAATGTGAAAGTTTGATTGGCACCAAGTGCGGTGTGCGTTAGTAATATTTTGGTTCCCTTAGTGCACGATATCACGAAGTTTTGCTTGTATC